CCCCCCCACCCCTCCCATCCCTGGTAACCAACAAAGATTGTTACATTTTGTGTGTGAACTAGTTGTGCCAATTTTTGATGTCACCGATAGCCCTTGAGATATTTGTTTGCCCACATTTGCTAACATTAGATGTTTTCATTAAAAAGAAAAAACTGATGACAAAGTGAAAATAGTATATAATTTTCATTTCTTTAATTGCAGAACCAAAAAAACCAAACCTCTTGCTGTCGATTCTTACTCATACATCTTTCCACATGACTTCTGAGTTGTCCAAAACTAGATCATTATGTGGAGTGAATATTTTAAGTAGAGATCTGTAATCTTACCATAGTTTAGGTAGTAGTGCGGGAGAAAGATATGGCAGTCTGCTTCTGTAAAGACTTACAGCCTTGGAAACCCTATAGTACAGTTCTACTTTGTCCTACAGGGTTGCAGTGAGTTGGGATCAACTCAGTAACAGTGGGTTTGGTTTTGGTTGGGTTTGGGTAGTAGGCATTTGTTATTAAACTTTTGATATGTGCCAAGTATTACGTTAAATGGCCAAGATAGACACTAGAGTGTGAGGAATGTGGGCTAGCAAACTAGAAATCATTATTCTGTGTGAAAAATGCTATTATGGATGAAGTATAGGATTGTGTGGATAGACACAGATTTCAGGCACTGCAGAAGCTGAAACCAGAAGGAGGAGTTTGTGATGCAGTAAAAGGAGTGGAAGAGTTTTGGGGTAGATGAACAAGAGGTATGCTGGTGAGAGAGAAATCTTTATTTCTTCCTGGAACTTCTAGTTATACTGAAATATGTGAACTTTTTTGAGGTAGGTTATGATAAGTGATGAAACTAAAAAGGTTAATTCCTGAAGAGTGATTAGATCACTTTTATGTTTTAAAAAATATCTTCAGCTTATTGATTAGATTAGCTCTGTGTGTGTGTGTATGTGAATTTCAGAGTCTGGGGAGGTCGATGACAGGGATGATGAGACCATATGGTTTAAAAAGACCAGTTACGAGTTTCCTGTTGTATTCCAAGCTAAAGATGATAGTGTCCTGGGCAAGGGTAATAATATTGACAGAGAACAGTGAGAGGATTTAAATGTTAATTAAGAATAGATAAGAGATAGTAGTAGAGCTTATGATGGGATGAAGATGCTCAGGGTTGGTGGATGGTGGTGTGATTCGCTGAGATGGATGACCTGAGAATAGGTTTTCTGGAGAAGATTATGGTTTCAGAGTTGATGTGCCTGTGAGACATCCAAATGACTGTGTCCAGCAGTCAGTTTTAATATGGGTCTGGCACTTAGGAGAGGTTTTAATCATAGATTTAGGATCGTTAGCACATAGACAAGATGGAAGAGCCCCCCCTGAGGAGGATTATAGTATCTAGCTTGAAGCTTAGGACTCATAGAGGACCCAGGATATAAAACACTTTCTCAAATACTGCTTTGGGCAGCCCTGTCAAAGAAATGCTTAAGATCTCGGCCTTGCTAAATGATATGGTCCTTCGCTTCAAGGACGGAGATTCAGGCTAGTATATTTTGAAATTGTCTTTTTGTCCATTTCTTTGAATGCTGTCTATGGAGAAACAAGATATATTGATTATTTTGTTCTGACTTCAATTTCTGCCAACTTTCAAATAGACTTTAGAATTATAACGCTTTCATGAGTTTGAGATGTTCTTAAATTTACTTTTAAACCATTTCAAATTTAGAGGTACAAAAGGTAAAGATGAATCATAAAAGTACTTACATTCTTCATTACTGTATTATAAAATCATTTTGGTCTCAAAGTTCAGTTCATTTTCACATATCAGAAGAAACTAAATACTTAGAAGGAACTAAAATACTGAAAACATGATGGAGCACTAATGTTACTAGTTATTGTTGGAAAAGGTTTTCTGAATTCTACCTTCACTTATTGTTAAACAAAATTTACTGAAATTTCTGTTAGGTTAGATACAACAAATTATTCACACCCTTTATGTAAGATACCGTTATGCCCAGCCCTGGTGGCACGAACAGTTAAGTGCTCAGCTGCTAACCAAAAGGCTGGCAGTTCAGGTCCACCCAGCTGGACCACAGGGGAAAGATCTCGTGATCTGCTTCTGTAAAGATTACAGCCAGGAAAACTCCAGGAGGCAGTTCTACTCTGTTACATGGGGTCTCTGTGAGTCAAAATTGATTGGACAGCACCTAACGACAACAAGGAACACATGGTGTAACTGAATTAATAATCATGTTATAAACGTATGCAGTTTAGTGATTACGCTTAAATGCTTTTTAATTCATTAGTTTTATTTTTCTGAGAAGTATGTTTCTCACCACAACCATTTTATTTTGTCACATAGGCAGAAGAAAACCTTGGTATGGTAATGATCTTTACTTTAGTGTCAGCTGTGCAAGAAAAGTTAAATGAAATAGTAGATCAAATAAAAACTAGAAGAGAAGAAGAAAAGAAACAAAAAGAAAAAGAAGCAGAAGAAGCTGAAAAGGTATATTAAAAAGCCCTGTTTTCCTTCAGTATTCTTTAAATGTTTTTTGTTTTTTTTTTTTGAAATTTCAATATATTATTAGAAATCACAAAAATAAAAGTAAATTTTACTAATTTACTAGAGTTAATTTTAGAGGTTTCTTAATTTGGTTGATGATATAGCATGAGTAATGAATAATAATCAGTAAAGGGCTCATGCAAGTAAGACCAAGAAATATAAATATTTATTAAATATAAATTATTTCATCTATGATACAGATAGATGAATTATAAGGCTCCCACCACAGTGATTTAAATATGTACTAAATGTAAAGGAGACTTGAAATTCTGAAATGAAGTAAAACAGATAAGCTATGATGTTATCGATGTAAATGAATTTGTATTCAAAATATGTCAATATTGACAGCAACACCTTTTTTCTTAACATTGAATAGCTATGGGGAAACATTGCATATTATCTTTGTTCTTTGTAATAAGAATCAAAAACAGACTTTTCCAAAGTAAGCTACCAAAATCAGTGCTAGTGGTGGTGCAGACAGAAATCAGATTAAATATTTCAAAATTTGAAGTAGTAATTTTCTGTGTTTCTCCTAAAGGAGGTACATTAATCTGTCTAAGAGATAGCATTAGGCTTTATTTTTGAACCTTTGCCTCACTTATTTGGTGACTTACATCCTTTCTTCCCCCTAAGCAATTGTTTCATGGCACTCCTGTTACAATTGAGAATTTCCTAAGTTGGAAGGCCAAGTTTGATGCAGAACTCTTGGAAATTAAAAAGAAACGAATGAAAGAAGATGAACAAGCAGGAAAAAATAAATTAAGTGGTATGACATCTTTCCCTGCTCCCCCATCACATCTTATATAGCCAGAGGATCATGTGGACAGATTTCTGTAAGAAAATAATATACTTAGGCATTTAGGACAAAAAGAGAAAATATATCTACGTAATGGTATTTCTTTATATAATTTGTAATTAATTTTGAAGGCTTATTTTTGATATAAATGTTGCACCTGGTAGATCCTGAGGTGCAGGTGACATAACCATCAGGATCACAAGCCTTAAAAGTGGTAGAGTCAAATCCATTTGTTTTTCTAGGACTCTGAGGCAGACTAGGTTTTCACCTGTTCCATTTTACATTTTATATGCCTCTCAGCTACTGAATGAGTTTATAAATTTATTGAAATTCACAGAAGAACATAGGTTTTCAGACTTGTTTTCTTATTATTATACTTTTTAAAGGGTTATAGGGAAGATAGAGCAATACTATGCCATTTGAATTCAACATATTTATTTCTTTTAGGGAAACAGCTATTTGAAACAGATCATAACCTTGACACATCTGATATCCAGTTCTTGGAGGATGGTAAGAATAATTAGATTTCTGCATTTATATAATATGCTGTCTTTAATTTTAAACTGTGAAAATCAGAGTGATTACTTATGTAAAATTTTCCATCCAAGGCTATGCATTTTAAAGACTGAGTCTTTGAAAATGTTCAGTTTATACATTTGAACTGAAAGTAATTCTATAGCAGTGTGTTTTTTTTTTTAAGTTTTCTGACAACTAAGCAGCATCAGCGATAGCAACACATAGAAAAGTATGGTCATACTAGCCTCTAACAACGAGTAAACTGGGCCATTGTGACTCAGGTGACTGTATGTCTGCAAATACCTAGATGTGTGATAAAGTCAAATGAGACTGTATTCCATGGTCTGTCACGGAGCTTATGAAAACCTCAGATCTGGAACTCCTAGCATGTCCTCTTACCAAAAACTCTTACCTTTCCTACTAGTCTTTCTGTCCTTGGAGCATTTAGTCCCATGTGCTTTTCTTCTCTTCCTTTTCTTCTAGCCCTTATTCCCTTCTTGCCTACCATCCATCCAGCTATCCACAGATATTTATTGTACCTTATTATAAGCTAAGTACTGTCCCAGCAACTGAGGATATAGCAGAGAACAGTATAGATAAATTCTGTGTCCCCTGGAGCTTCTGGCCTGTGTGTGTTTCTTAAACTGGGCCCCATATTTAGTCACATATCCAATAGCATCTTAGAGCTCTGCACTCCATTAACCTTCTGTTAGCCCCATCTTGCCAGTTGGGGACTCTAGTGTTTGACCTGTCAACCTTGATTCTGGATTACTTCCTGGAGAAAGTGAAGACGTGATGTTGATGTAAGCCACTGCTAAATCATGCTGTCTTACCAGAGCTGGGCCCTTACTGACACTTGGCATTTTTTTTATATATGTTATTACATTCTCTATGACAGCTACCCCAAGATTTTTTTATTATTATTTTTTCCCATACAAAAATTTATACATTGTTATGTGACTCTAATTGCTCTCCCCATACTGTGACAGCACACTCCTCCTTTCCACCCCTGATTCCCCATGTCCATTCAACCGGCTCCTGGCCCTCTCTGCCTTCCCATCTCACCTCTGGACAGAAACTGCCCATTCAGTCTCTTGTATCCACCTGAGCTAAGAGGCACACTCCTCACGAATATCAGTTTATGTCCCACAGTCCAGTCCAAACCCTGTCTGAAGAGTTGGCTTCGGAAATTATTTTAGATGTGGGCTGATAGAGAATCCAGGGGCCATGCTTTCTGGGGTTCCTCCAGTCTCAGACCATTAAGTCTGATCTTCTTACTAGAATTTGAGTTCTGCATCCCACCTTTCTCTTGCTCCATCAGGGACTCTCTGTTATGTTCCCTGTCAGGGTGGTCATTGGTGGTAGCCGGGCACCATCTAGTTCTTCTGGTCTCAGGCTGATGAAGTCTCTGGTTTATGTGGCCCTTTCTGTCCCTTGAGCTACCCCAAGATTTTTATAGGCTTAGTTACCTGGTGCTACCCTAATAGAAACACCACAAGTGGATGGCTTTAAAGTGCAGAAATTTATTTTCTTACAGTTCTGGAGACTAAAAGTCCAAATCAGGATTTTGGGCATGTTGATTCTTTCTGTGAGACTCTCTTCTAGTTGTTGTATCTGCCAGCAATCCTTGGCATTCCTTTGCTTATAGATAATCCTCACATGTCCTCTGTCTTCTGCTCTGTGTGTGTCTCCGTATATATTCTGTTTTGTTTTGTTTTGTTTTAATTTGGAAGTGATTAAGTTTAGAATCCAACATTCACTGGTATGACCTCATTAACAACAAAAGAAAAACCTTATTTCCAAACAGGGTCATAATTACAGGTACAAGGTTTGGGACTTCCACAGTTCTTTTTTGAGGAACACAATTTAATCCATAACAGAGTCTTAAAATTCAAAGCAAACACCGAGGATGTCCTTTTCTATCCACTACTCACTTTAGGAGTTCATCTTACCTCCTTTTTTGCTGAGAAATTCTGGATCCAAAAAGCTTAATTTCCTTCATTTAGATGTTCTTAGTATCTTCATTCGTTCTTGACTTCTTTCCCTGTTTAATGGATCAAGTATCTCCTCATATCCAGTAATTTACCAAAAGCTGCCTGTTGATTCTGCCTCTGAATTGTCTTCCCAGCTCTTTCCTCTTCTAATTTGAGAGTTTTATCATTTTTTGCCGGGACTTTGCAGTAGACTCTCACAGTATCTACCTACATCAATCTCTCCTTCCTCCTAGGTCGCTTATCTACTCTGTAGTTGCTGCCTCTGAGGTGGTATTTCCAAAATCCATGTTTAATCATGTCATATTACCTCCTTAAAATCCTTTGATAGTTCTTTACTGCTTAGAGGAAAAGATTGACCAACATGATAATTCTCAGTCTGGCCCTCATCTGTTTTGCCTCCAGGCATCTTTCCTCAAGAATCCTGTGTTCCAGTTGGAATTATTCAAGGTCTTAGCTCTCCTCTCTGCCTTTGCATATACTCTGCCTAGAATTGTTTCATCCTGGACCCTTTTCTTTCTGGTGGATTCCACTTAGATATTTCTACCTTAAGATATTTCAGATGCCATCTGCTCTGTGAAGACTCTCTACTTCTCCCAGACAGAAGCAGTTATTCTTGGCCTGGGCTTAGAAAATTGTATTTTATTACTGAACTGTACATAGGCATAAAGCAAGATTCATTCTCACTCATCATCTTCCCATTAAATTGAATGTCAGTGGGCTGGAGTGTGAGAGAGGGAGATGTAACAATTTGTGGTGATGTAAGAGTGCTGTAACACCTTACCTTTATCTGCTTCAGACAAACTAAAGAGTGAAGATGTTTAATGCAGATTAATTCAGAGCCCAGGTACTGCTTCCTAGTAGGGCTTAGACATTTGGAATCTTGGAAGGGTATATTATTGGTTACTAGGGGAACTGGGGGAGAGTGAGTGGAGATCATTTTCAATCTATCAATTAAATAAAATTCATTCTAGAAAGCCTACTTTTATAACTGGCTATTTAGACTATGAACTGAAAGCCTGAAGTTGCTCTAAAATGTCTGAGTCTGCTGACCAGTACAGATCGTTTTTGATTTGCAGTTGTAGTTTGGGATTTTATCATGTGTGCCTCACGTGTACATTTGGAAGTTTCTGTATGGTACAGCCAATGAGTTGTGTCTTTTATTTCTGAGTGTAAGACTGACTGTGAAATCTCTTTGACTTTTGCAGCTGGAAATAATGTGGAAGTAGATGAGTCTTTGTTCCAGGAAATGGATGACTTGGAGCTGGAGGATGATGAGGATGATCCAGATTACAATCCTGCTGACCCAGAGAGCGACTCGACCGACTAATGGACTGTCCCCATCTGCAGAGAGGCATGACTGCCACAGCATCTGTGGCTATGCTGAGAGGGTTTTGATTTTCCTTTCTTTTTTTCTAAGAAAAAATAATTCCCAGGAGAATATTCTTCTGATAACTTTCATCATTGAACTTAATAAACTGACCTTAAAATTTCAAATATAAAATGTTTAATTCCTCTTGTGATGGATAGAAAGTCATCTGTTTAGAATCATTTAGTGCTGGAGAGAGATCCTGCGTATAACACCAAGACTTGAAGAGAGGCTTCTGCTGTGCACAAGCATGGGCTTATACGCAATGAACTGGAATAACTCGGAATTTCTGCCCTGGAGGCAGTGTTTGCTTTTGGGTTCTGTGTTGTCATTCATATAAAGTATTAGAGGTCTGAGGTGAAGAGAACATTAAACCTTCAAGATTCTAGCCTTTAGGCATGATAAATGTAGGTCTTAATAAAACCGTAGCCTATATTATAGCCGGAAATACAATTTTAACCTATACTATTTGAATCATAGTATTTTAGTCTATAGTAGTATTTGAATCAAAATCATCTATGGAGTTGGTTTTTTTTTTTAAACGTGTACTTCTTGGCTCTTCTCAGATTCATAATCATTGAGCCCCAATCTGAATAATAAAACAGGAAAATCTCACATACCAGTCACACAGTGGTTCTGAAGCACACTCCTGCTTAAGAAGCACTGTCCTACAGTTGTGAAAACTTGAAGTCTATGTATTTTGGTGTTCCCTCTTTCTAGTTACCCAGTGTGAAAGGATCTTGGGGTTGCGTATTGTCTGCAACAGCAGCCACACATCAACATCCATGTACATATGGAACCTTCATAATACTTTGGAGTGACTGACTTGGGGGCCAGATATGTACAAGCAGGAGAGCCAGGCTTCATGTAAGTTAATCCAGTCACTCCAATTTTAGAGGATTGACTCAACTCCAATAGGAAATCACTTGTGCTATAGCAAATTGCTGCCTCCAGTCAAAAATATACACCACATCCCCACGAACACAGCAGTATGAATACCACATTTATTTTTGGAGTCAGACCTTATGGTTAAAAATAAATTATTTAAGATAATCAAAACTATCATTAGGGAGTTTAATACTTTCCAGGGAATAGCAGTAATGTTGAGGATTTCTGTGCAGAGAGAATCGCAAAAGTTTGTTATGTGAGATTCTTGCTTTTCCTAGGGAGAGATCCTTTGTCAAGCTGATCAGCAGGTGCATGGAACCAGGAAGAAGCCATTCAATTAAGCTTAAAGTGTTGGTGAGCAATGTGGTGGTGAGGTCAGTGAAGACTTGACCTTGAAAAGTCAAGATTGATTCTGCTCCCCCCTCATATGATTATTGTTAAAGAAAGATAATCTCTTTAGAAAAAGACGTTAAAGAGAATTGTCTTCTTAATGTTGAAAATAGACTTTAACATTCAGTTATCAAGGGTTTCTTCAGAATAAGTTTAATGCATTTCCTCCAGAATGATACAGAAAAGAAGGACCATTGTGGAATGGTAGGTGCATGTTGGGAAATCGTGAGAGATACTAATTCTTTAATTTTTCAGTGTGACCCCCTTTGGTGCCTCATGGAACTAAAGTTAAAAATTTCAAAATCAAGTGGCCTAATAGCCACTGCCATCAGGGTATGCTCTTTTGGTGGAGAATGCCCTAGATTGTTCCAAGGGACTAGAAAGAGAATAGGACTGGGATAAGTCATTGTTAATCATTCCGACGGTGTTAGGGACAGCGCCATCCCTTAAACTGGGCTGCTAAGTACAACTCTGGAGAGAGGGCTGTGTTTAAAGGAACTTATTTTGATGTGGGCAGGTAGTCTAAAAATAGTGATGGTACAATCTTGCTAGACAGTCTTTAGTGGAAGAGATACTTGTTTTGGCAGCTTAGTGTAAGAGCAGGCCCTAAACTAAGCTTTGTTGAAAGGGCTGTATTTGTAGCTTAGCTTGGGCCTCAATGTCTGAGAAGAACTAGAGCCATATGATGGCAGAAGCATAGTCCTGTGTGTTACTAAGGTGGTGAGCGGGCTCTGTGGGACAGGCCTTTCAACAGGACACCAATATCCTGAGGAAGCCTTCCTGCTGCTGAGGTCTCTAAGTGGTGGGTATGTGACAGAGTGGGACTCAGACTAGTATCCTGTTGATAATGAGAATTTAAGACAGCTTTAATAAAACTTAATTTTTTTTTTGTTTTCTTTTTTTTTTTGCTGTCTTACGTATCCCTTGAAGATTCTCTCACATTTGTCCTCATTACTTCATACCTAGACTGTGTTTCCTGCCTTTAATCTGTACCCTTTTCCATTATAGCCCCCATTCCCAACACACACACACCACACACACACACCCCACACACACACATTGCTCTGAGTTACTTATCTTGCCCAAAGCCTGCTTTTATCGTTTGAGTTCTTGGCTCAAAATTCTCCAGTTGGTTTCCTCTACCAGTACACAGTGTGCCTCCCAAATAGCAGAAGAGAATAAACACATTTGCCCTGATGGTCTGCAGGTGTAGCCAAAACAGAACGTTATTAGACATTTTCTTGAAGTCTCATGTTTATACTGAAAGCTTGCGGTTTTCATTCAACTTCATAATATATCCATAGTTGTATGTAAAAAGAAAAGTTTAAAAATTACTTGCCAGGGCAAAAAAATTTTCCCATTTTCATTAGTTTCTACCTTTTTCCATTGCTGAGCAAGATTATATTGAATTGACTAATAATTTGGAAATTTGGGATGAATTAGAAGAAAATTGACGCTGCGTGTCAGATTGAGTAGTTTTGTTTTCTTTTTTTCTTCTTGGTGTTAAAATACTTCAAGAACTCAGATCCATATAACTATGTATGTGTATGTGACATTAGTTTGTTCACTGCTTTAGGAGCTGTGTCAGGGTAACTGAGATGAAAGAATGTTACCAAAGAGGTCATATATCATTAAGTATTCAGGCTTCTGTTGGTGAAAAGTTTGATGTCATCTTCCTAAAAGGTCAAGTTACTGCTGTCAGAGAGTGGAAGGAAAGGATCATTTTAATTGTTGGGCAAACTCATCAAAGGACTTTTTTGTTTTTATCATCAAAGAAAACTGGCCAATGATATTTTTAATTTTATCTCTAAAACTAATTTGCATTATTCTATGTATGTGACTGAATCTCAACTCAGTTCTCATTTTTGGTCCAATTTTTAACTTCGTTTTCATTGATACCATGGACAAATCCAAAAACCAAACCTGTTACCATTGAGTTGATTCCAACTCATGGCAATCTCATTTGTTACAGAGTAGAACTGCTCCATAGGGTTTTCTTGGCTGTAATCTTTACCGAGGCAGATCACCGGGCCTTTTTTCCATCGTGCCGCTAGGTGGGTTTGAATCGCCAAACTTTAGGTTAGTAGTAGAGCACAAACTTTTTGCACTCCCAGTAACACGACACCATGTACAGAACAGTAAAAAAATACACAATTTGTCCTGCAATTGTTGACTTAAAATGATCACTTAAAAAAATCCATTGAAGAAATCAACTTATTGAGCCACCCTTTGTCATTAAGGTGAACGGTTGGAGTGCTTACTATGTGACAGTCATCCTTTGTGGTAAGATCTTTCTTTCCTCCCCTCTCTGAAGGGAAAAAAATAATACAATTCAGCCCTGAGTCCTACTATTCTGACCAGCACCTTATCACTTGTGGCTACGCCAGCAAATACGCTGTGTAATAGATCCAGCTTTCAAAGCCACCCCCTCAATATAATGGAGTCCCACTCCAAACATGAATAGTGCTATCCAGGGTCCTGAACAATCATTGCTTAGCATCTGTTTGTGTCTCCCAACCCTGTAGGCCAGTAAATCATCACCATTGTTTGCTAAATAGGAAACAGTGCACTGTGGCATCAATTGGCTGAAAATAAATTGGAAATATAGAAGAAACAGAAAATTTTAAATTCTTTTTTAAGATAAAGGTAAAATACTTAACAAAGATAAAAGGTTGCAAAACTACCTTGTGGTGCACCAATATACCAATATCAAAATCAAACTTAACAGCAACAGCAAAATTACCAACTGGGAAATTATGGCTTTGATGAACTTAACATTTCAGAGTCATGTTTGCCACTTTGCTCCTACCCAAATAGCTTTAGACCAATTTATCCAAATTATTTTCGGTAATTTCAAATTTCCTTTTTTCTTTTTCTTTAAGTGAAATTTACTAGAGAAGTTTTTTCTAGGTGGCTATTGGAAATAAGGCTGGAAAGGTATGTTGTAGCCATATTGTGGAAGGCTAAGGCAGTAGGATGGGAATGAAGATCAAGTGTCAGTTATATCCTAAGCTTCTTTGCGAGTTAACTCCTTCCCACTACATACATAATTGAGAAAAATTTCACCTGTTATTTTATCAAGTCCTGTAAGTCAATAGTTTTTCTTACTATTACAACTATATCTTTAAACCACCAATAAAATTACCATATCACTGATATTCCTGCTTTCATCCATTATAAGGTAATGTGCTAGTCCTTCAGATATGCTTTTGAACAGAAAATGGATGGAGCTGAACATATAAGATTCCTTTATAGGAGAAATTAACTTTCTAACAATTCTAAATTCAAGATTCTTTTTATAGCATTTTTATTTTTTGGTTATTTTCTTATCTAAGTATAAAAGCAATACCTATTTATTACAGTAAAATCAACAAAAAAGAACATTAGAAAAGTTGAAATCCCATCCACCTAAAGACACCATTGTTGACATCTGGTTGCATAAGTTGCCAAACCCTTTTCTAGTTATTTCTGTTTAAAAGGGAGATCTACTAGAATGCAAACTTGTCCTTGTCTGTCTGCTCTACCACTTTATTTTTAGTGCTAGAATAGTACCTGGCAGAGAGCAGGCACTCAATAAATACTTGTTGAGGGGATGAATGAATGAGTCCTATTGTACATACTATTTTGTAACATACTGTAATTTTTAAAAATACACAAATGGTCAGATACTTTGGTTGGAATAATTCAAAATGAATCTGAAAAAAGGAGCCCCACAACTCAGAAAAATGAATAAAAATGCTTAAGGACGCACAAACCTTTGGAAAACTGTCCCGCTCCCCCAACTAGTGCACTGGTATTAAAAACCATATAAAATAAGAAACTGAGATATTTATTTACTGTAATATTATGGCTGAAATTGCTCTGTTAATGAGTTTGCTTTATGTCAGAATGCATTTGCCCAATGTCTTAGTTATCTAGTGCTGCTAAAACAGAAATACCACAAGTGGATGGCTTTAACAAACAGAAGTTTATTCTCTCACTGTCTAGGAGGATAGAAGTCCGAATTCAGGGCACCAGCTCCAGGGGAAGGCTTTCTGTCTGTCAGTTTCCCCTGGTCTAGGAACTTCGCAGCACAAGTACCCTGGGTCCAAAGGACGTGCTCTGCTCCTGGCTCTTCTTACTTGGAAGTAATGAGGTCCCACTCCTCTCTGCTTGTTTCTCTCATATCTCAAGAGATTCACTCAAGATACAGCCTAATCCTGTAGATTAGGTCCTGCCTCATTAATGTAACTGCCTCTAATCCAGCCTCATTAACATCATAGAGGTTAGGATTTACAACACATACAGTAATCACATCAGATCACAAAATGGTGGACAAACACAATACTAGGAATCATGGCCTAGCCAAGTTGACAGTTTTGGGGGACCCAATTCAAACCATAATAGCCAAATTGCATTTAGTCAAAATTGTTTTCAGTCAGACATTATGCTCACATGCTAGGCAGTGGAATAATAGAGACAGAAGACCTAGCCTCTCTTCTGGAGGAATTCTCATGTTTCTAGGGAAGATAAATAGAGTGCTGAATAATAACCACAGGATGCTATAGGCCCACGTGGGAGGGACATCCAATCAACCTGAAGTGCTCAAGATGGCCAGTTGGCAGGCAGGAGCTGTGTTTGAGTTGACTTTATTATTTCTAGCTTGGTAGAGAACCTTTGTGGGAGAAAGATGTGGCAGTCTGCTTCTGTAAAGATTACAGCCTTGGAAACCCTATGGGGCAGTTCTACTCTGTCCTGTAGGGTTAGTATGAGTCGGAATTGACTCAGTGGCAATGGGTAGAGAATCTATATTCAATAATCTATAGGATGGATATAATCAAATTTAGGATGAAAGGGAGCATGTTTAAAATGATATATCCTTTTACATCATTTAGGCTGGATGGAAAAAATTCAGAGGGAACATTTGCGGGGGTGAGAAAGTGAAGGAGTAAATATCTTGAAAAAAATCAAA